TTTTGGGCCATGCAGGTTTTTATCGTCGTTTCATTAAAGATTTTTCGAAAATTTCCTCTCCCTTGTGCAGGTTGCTTGAGAAAGATGTCTCCTTCAAGTTCGATGATGCCTGTCTGAAAGCATTTGAGGAGCTGAAGGGAAGGCTAGTGACTGCACCAATTATCATTGCCCCGGATTGGGAGCAACCCTTTGAGTTGATGTGTGATGCGAGTGACGTAGCTATTGGAGCTGTTTTGGGGCAATGGAGAAATAAAATCTTTCACTCCATCTTCTATGCGAGCAAAAGTCTGAATCCAGCTCGGATGAATTATACAGTTACTGAAAAGGAGTTGCTTGTAGTGGTGTGGATGTTTGACAAGTTCAGATCATATTTAGTGGGGACCAAAGTCATCGTCTACACAGATCATTCAGCTATCAGATACTTGTTTGAGAAGAAAGACGCCAAGCCGAGACTGATTCGTTGGGTCCTTCTCTTGCAAGAGTTTGACTTAGAAATCCGAGATAAAAAAGGAACAGAGAACCAAGTGGCTGATCACTTGTCCAGATTAGAAAATCGGAGCTATGTAGCTGAAGGTGGGTCTATCAAAGAAACATTTCCTGATGAGCAGTTATTGGCAATCACCTCAAGTGAAGCCCCGTGGTATGCAGATTATTATTGCAAGTGGGGTGACACCACCAGAATTGACACCTGATACTAGAAGAAGATTTCTACATGATGTGAGGCTCTACATGTGGGATGAGCCATTCTTATATCGGCTATGCGCGGACCAGTTGGTTCGAAAATGTGTTCCTGAAGAAGAGATGAATGCAATATTGCATGACTGTCACGCGTCACGATACGGAGGACATCACGGTGGAGATAGAACCGCCCAGAAAGTTCTACAATCAGGTTTCTATTGGCCAAAATTGTTTAAGGATGCACATGCCTTTGTTAAAATGTGTGACAGATGCCAAAGAACCGGAACGATCACCAAGAGGCATGGGATGCCTTTGCAGAATATACTAGCAGTAGAGCTTTTTGATGTTTGGGGGATCGACTTCATGGGACCTTTCCCATACTCCAATGGGCACAGGTACATCTTGGTGGCAGTGGACTACGTGTCTAAGTGGGTGGATGCCATTGCTATTCCCACTAATGACGCGAAGGTAGTGGTGAGTTTTGTAAAGAAGCACATTTTCACACGCTTTGGAACTCCACGAGTGTTGATAAGTGACGGAGGATCGCACTTCTGCAACAAATTGCTGAATAATATCCTTGCAAAATATAGAGTCAAGAACAAGGTTTCCACAGCCTATCATCCCCAAACGAGTGGTCAAGTGGAAGTGTCAAACAGAGAGGTGAAGCAGATTCTGGAGAAAATAGTGAATGGGAATAGAAAGGACTGGGCTGGGAAGCTCGACGACGCATTGTGGGCATATCGAACTGCATACAAAACTCCCATAGGTGCTTCTCCATATAAATTAGTTTGTGGGAAGGCATGTCACTTGCCCGTCGAGCTTGAACACAAAGCCTATTGGGAAATTAAAAAGCTGAACATGGATATGGATTTAGCTGGAGAGAAGAGGTTGCTGAAACTCAACGAGCTTGATGAGTTTTGATTGCACGCATATGAGAATGCCAAGTTGTATAAACAGAAGACTAAAAGATTGCATGAAAAGCACATTCAACATCGAGAGTTTGAACCGGGGCAAGAAGTTCTTTTATTCAATTCGAGGTTGAAGCTTTTTCCTGGAAAGCTAAAGTCTCGTTGGTTAGGACCTTTCGTTATTGTGAGTGTTAAGCCTCATGGAGCTGTGGAGTTGCGGGATATGAGCTCAAATAGTACCTTCTTGGTAAATGGCCAGCGGATAAAACATTATTGGGGTGGTGACATTGCACGTCACAAGACCTCGATGGACCTGTCAGATGCCTGAAAACGTGTTGCGTCGTGCCGCAACGTTAAATCAGGCGCTGGTTGGGAGGCAACCCAATGATAGTTGTAGTGTTATTTGTGAGTTTTATAGCATACTAACCAATGCAGGTGAAAAAGGGGCAGGCGAAAAGACCATCAACCATGGTGAACACAGGTGAAAAAAGTGGAAAAACATGTTGCCCAGTAGCGCGATCGCGCTACAGTTCGCGCTACAGCTCGCGCTAACTGGGTAACATTTTGCCTAAGTTGCACAAAATTAGCGCGAGCGCGCTAGGCTTCGCGCTACAGTTCGCGCTAAAGCTCGCGCTAAAAGTGTAACATTCTGCCTGGACTAGCGCGATCGCGCTAGCTTCGCGCTAGTCCCGCCCCAGAAATCACTGGGTTTGGTCGTCTTAAAGTTTTTTTTATTTTTTTTATTTTATTATTTATTTTTATTTCTCCTTTTTCTTCTTTAGTCTAACTTAATTCCCCCCTAATCTATTTCCCCACCGCATAACTCCTCCCCAAAACTCACACACCCCTCTCCCCAAACCACTTCCCCCCATCTCCTAATTCTCAGGACACTTCCCCCACCAAGCTCACACACACATTTGTCTCTCTACTCACCACCATCCACACCACAGGTATTATGGCGCCATCGCACAAACGCCACTCCACAGGTCCATCCTCAAGCAGCCGAGCCGACAGACCCAGGACACATGGGGCAGCCCCTACACACCCTTTTAACTGTAACAAATTTGTCTCAGCCGCAGCTCAAGGCCGCTTTGTGGAGAAGGCCACTAAACAGCCGATTCCGGAGAGGGGAATTGATATGAATTCACTCCAGTAGAAATGTCCTCACATGTACACGAAACTGCTAAGGCAGGGGCTGCAGACCTTCATCAATGAGCCAGGGGAGGCCAATGCAATGGTTGTGCGGGAATTTTACGCTAATCTGCCTGAGCATGACAATAGTGTGGTCACAGTGCGCTGCAAGGCGGTGAATGCCTCTATTGAGGCGATACGGATGGCATACCATTTGCCCCCTCCCGTGCCTGAGCATGATGACTTCTATGAGTATGGCCGGAACCCAACGGACGCAAAGTGGGAACGATTCTTTGATGCGATTTGCGCACCCGGAAAAGAGATGGAATGGATGCAATACGGTGAGAAGTTTCACTCCTCAGCTTTATCCCCTGAGGCGAAGAGCTGGTTATATGTGGTTAACAGCCGTCTCATTCCGTCCAAAAACACCACGGAGGTAAATGCAACCCGAGCCGCTTTGATTTGGTGTTTCATCAAGGGTCTTGACTTCGATATAGCCAAAGTGATGCACGATAAAATGTTTGTTCGCTGCCCAGCTAGAAGGTATGGGTTCTTTTTCCCCTCTCTAGTGACTCAACTTTGCAGGCAAGCTCGGGTGCCCGTACGAAATGGCCACAAGGTCCGACCCGACAAAGGCACCACGGCGACAGAGCCAGCCACATAAGGTGGAGCGGATGAGAGTGGCTCTGATGACTCGGAGGAAGGGGTGGCCGATAAAATGAATGTGGAGGGTGAAACACAGCCCCAAGAGCCCAGTGCAGCAGCTGCAGCACCGTCCGGAGCAGCATCATCTTCAGGAATTGCCAGAGTGTCCCGTTTCACCCCGTTGGAGCAGGAGTGGTTGGGTTGCGCTCCTCCGTGACTGAGTTGGGAACTCGTGTAGACGCAGTGGCTGCTCAATAGACGAAGTCTGAGAAGAAATTTTTGGGCTGGCTGAGGGCTTTGGGTCGGGCGTGCCATGTAAACCCCGACACTATCTCTGACCAGGAGTGAGCATTCAGGGAAGTTCCGTTACCTCACTATTACTTCAATTCTTAAGCCATGGGGACATGTCTTCATTTTAAGTGTGGGCTGGGGGATACTTCAGTGTATATATGTAGTTGTATAAATCGTATGTATGCTTGTTTAGTTTTATTTTGTTTGGTTTTGATAGTTTTAGTAATTTAGTATGAGTTCATTAGTTAGTTCATTAGATTAAACTAGGTAAGTGGCTTGCCCCGACGACGGATCTCTTTCGGCGGGGTTCTTGAGGGACTAAGTCGATCAACGATAAAAAAAAATGGAAAATATGAAGACTCTTCCTGATGACGGATCCTTTGGACAATTTTCTTGAGGGAAATTAGTCTAGAAAAATACCAAAAAGATTTTTATTTTTTATTTTTATTTTTAGGTAGTGTAGTAACTCCCCCTTGGTTTTTCTTTGGGCCACGGTTCTTTTCCAAGGGTTTAAACTTGAACAGGGTATATGTAGTTTATTTAGTTATTTTATTTTCTTTTTGATTTGTAGATTAGGTTTAACGGGCTACGAGCTAGAAAATCAAAAGAGGACCTATAGCGTCGACACACCTGCACACAACAGAAACTAGAGTTAACGCTTAGTCTTATTGGTTGAATTTTACTAAAGTGCCTTAATTTGTATGTTTGTCACTGACTTGAATACTCATAATGGAGAGTCTCGATGAGTTAATCTGGAATGAGTCATATGCCATGTGTGGTGAGGTTTTTGTGTAGTCCATGTGTTGTACTTGTGTCTAGAACTTGCCCGGAATGTGAGTCGAAGCGAAATTTTAGTTGGTGCTCGATTTGAAAAATGATATTAGGCTTTCTTTGATCTTTTTTGAGCTTAATTGCTTACCACATATAAAATTTATCCCTAGTCAACCCTTTTGAGCCTTTAGACTTTTATTTGGCACCCACATTAAAAGCCTATACCCTTTTTATTCTTAATTGACATTGTTTTGATCCCTTTTCCTCTTAAAGCACTTTAATTGTGAGATGATCGCTAAAAGAAGTAAGAAGGAACTAAGTGTGGGGTGGCTTTTGAGTGGAACCAATAAAAGGAAGAAAGGTGCACTTATTTTTTAAAATAATACACCACTAGTGGAAATTGGAAAAAAAAGAAGATAATAATCTTAAAAAAAAGAAAAAAAATAGAGATGAATACATTGTTGTCTTGTTTTTGATAGTGGGTATGAATTAATGTAGTGCTTAAAGAAGAAGGGAGCATTTTTGGGGTGATATTGTTTGTGAAAGTGAAGTGGATTGAAGAATTTGCGCTTAAAGTTGATTATGTGGTGTGTTAAAGTGCTTAGGAGGGTTAGTCACTATTCCTAAATGTATCCTACCCGTCCCTTAGCCCACATTACAACCATGAAAAAGTCCTAATTGATTTTAGATCGAGCGAGCCTACATTAGTAGAGATTTACATTAAGGGCAAGCTTATGGTACCAATTGCATGCATGTGACTTCTTTTTTTTGAGTGTGAGCGATTTTCTTTGATATATGTGAGCATGAATTCGAATGTATGGATTGATTCTACTTTCTTTGCTGTGATTGTGAGGGCATGTGATTCGTGAAGGAAAAGCAAGTCTTGACTTCTGTGTAGAGTACTTTGAGAAAGTGTGAATATTGCTTGGCACGTGAGAGTTGACTTTTGAGGCTGAGATTGTTCACTACTAGGCGTAGCATATGTGAATTGTTCTGGGTGTAAGGCGTTAAGGGAAATTGTTGAGTGGAACCTCTAGAGAGTATAATTTGATTGCTCGAGGACGAGCAATGAATTAAGTGTGGGGTGTTGATAATAGGCTAGGTCTAGGTGATTTGGCGATTGTTTATGCTCCCGCTTGATTATGTTTCAATGTCATAATATGGTTAAATGATGAAAAATGGGCTCTAATCGTGAATTTTACACCTTGCAGGATGGTGAGCCTATATGATGCCTTAAAGTTGTGATTGGAGCTACATTGGAGCAAGAAAGACCCCTCGGAGCTGAGTGCGCGCAAAGACTAGACAAAGAATTGAAGAAAAAATGACCTGAACTAGCGCGAGCAGTAGCGCGATCGCGCTAGTTCAGAAGCGGGAAGCAGAATGTCAGGAGACTAGCGCGAGCTCTAGCGCGAGCATTAGCGCGTTCGCGCTAGTCCTAGTTCCGGAAAAGATTTGTTAGGGGCAAAATTGGAAATCTAGAGGAAATTTCACTTAACCTATATAAAGTCAAGCTCGCCCAAGGATTAGATATCAAGGTTTTCATAGTTTAGAGCAAGAAACATAGAGGCAAGAGGCAAGGAGGAAAATCCAACATCAAGTTCTTCTTTTTTTCTTCTTGTTTTTACGTTTTGAATGAAATTAAACATTATTGAGATGAACACTCCTATGAGTGGCTAAAACCTATTGTTCTAGGGTCATGGGTGAAACATGATTGTTGTTGTTCAGCGTTTAATTTAACAAAGTTGGTTTACTCATATTGGGTTGTTTATTTAATTCTGTTCTCAATTATTTTGTTGAGTAGCTAAAAGTGGAATACTATCTATGAATCTATAGTTGAACTCGAAAGTGGGAACTTTGGATTGCATATAGAATTAAATAGAGCAAGTTCTTGAACCTGGGCATCCGGGAACGGATTCGCGGTTAGGATAGACATATACCTAATTGCCTTGTTTGGTTGAAATACAGGATTTATAAATGCATTCTTGTTAATTTTAATTCCATAGACATATAGGCATTAAGTTAACTTGAATAGGCCAGTAAGAACTCGACAGATTCTTATGAGCAATATTAACCCTGTCAATCAACAACCCAGATAAATCAATTAGTTATTTTAAGCCAAGAACGCAACATGATTGTTAACTAGCCCGTGACCCTGGAATACTCTCCTCTACTGAT